AAAAAAAAAAAAAAAAAAAAACGAAAAAATCTCGATGTCAGCAGTGACCGAACGGGCTTCTCTTTATTCCATTATTTTGTTCGCTGGGGTTCGAGCAATGCAAAATAGATGATCTCTGCTTTTTAAAAAAAATAAAAATAAGACTCTAAGCTTTCGTAAGAACTGAAATTGAAATCCACTTTCTCGGGCACAGCGGAAATAGATTTTACTTGGCAAAACTTCTTGACATTCTCGATAAGTGATTTCCGGAATACCATCCTGACATTTAATGTAACTGAACTCTTTAAATTGCCATTTTGTGATACCAATACCTGGCTTTGATTGCGTTGAATCGGGGTTCAGGAAATGACAGAGCAAACTACTTAAAATCTTATGTTCTGGCATAAAAATACAGCATATGATATTGTTCTGGCGTAAAAATATAGCATATGATATTGTCTGACGGCGAAAATTTTTCAGTGACGGATTAACTCCCAAAATACGTTAGACATCTTTTCTCAGTTACGCTTTCACTAGACTTTTTTTGCCACATAAAACATCTAACAAACGTTTTCACTCTAGTGTAAATGTTTATTATTCACTTAAAATAAATGATACTTTAAAACATGCTTACCTGTATCCCGTCCTCTTTCGTCTGTACTTCGGCAAATTCGCGGGGTAAAAACGGATATTTAGTCTAGCAGATCGTGAGTTGTATTTTTGCCGTTCCGCAATGTTTTTAGGAAAAAATTAAATAGGCTATTCTTCGCAAAACGTGTGAAATTTTCTGCCATTTTTTTCCACTCCACCTTGTCCCCAGAGCTTCCCGGTTGGCGTCCGATAGTCTGTAGTTGATTAATTACTGTAATTGCCACCGTTTTTAATACTGGATATCACAAACGTCTCCCGATATCTCCCGAATCAGCGATCAAGGCTATATGGTAATGAAGATTTACCCGCGAAATTTGAGCCAATCAGAAACAGATATATTTTTATACCCTGGGCGAGGTTGTTCAAAGCTGGGTTAAGATAACCCAGGGTTAGTGCAAAATTTGAATTCAGATGTGAAAGCTTCAAAAGTAAATTTAGTTTAGTTCTTTTTGTCAACAAGTTGATGATCGTATGCTCTTACAAAAAACCGAGACAATTATCTAAGAAAAGGCTTTTGAACAAAAGAAAAAAAACCGGGTTAAACTTAGCCCTAGGTTAAGCGCTAATCGGCCTTCGAACAACTGGGCCCTGCATTTTAAACATGTCGGACAAAACCCCTCTCTCTTTAATTTAATTAGATGTTCTTTAGCCCCATATCTCCCTTCAAATAATCAGTATGGTTTGATTTGGGAGTTGTCTGTGCAATATACTTCCCAACTAAAAAACAGCGAAATCCGAGCTCAACGTGGAAAAAAGGAATTCTTGGTTTGTAACCGCGCGACAAAAAGGCGGCCATCTTGGGGGTCAATACAATAGAGTTTGTTTTCTCGAAGAATTTACTTAAAAGTGGAGTTTTCATGGTTCTAGAGTTCTTGACCACCAAAGTAGCTGCCGTGACGCACGTGCAAACCAGCGATGAAAAGGACTAAAAGGGGATCTGGTGAAGAGGTTAGAATCACGCCGCTTGAGGCGTTTTTTAAGAACTCGAACATTCGATCCTTACGGTCTTTATCGATTCATTTGTGTCCCTCGCCTCTGATCTGGGCTTTTATATCTCGACTTGTGAATAATTCTAAGAACCGACCATCAAATTTCGAAGGCTGAACACTTTCATTTCCAACATGTGGTAAAGCTAGGATCTGAGATGAGTGAGCGAATAAAACAATTTTTAATTTTCCTTCCTGGTGGATTTAAAAGAGGTCTAATTAATTTTTCAGCTTTACACTTATAATAATAATAATAATAATAATAATAATAATAATCGTCTATTCAACCTTTTTGCAGCACTGAACTGAATTACACATGATTACAAGGCGGGTCATTAATTACATACAATTATTATATACATACTGAGAAATACTCACCAAAAAGCTATGTCGTAAATTTTCGTACGCAAATTAGTTCAAGCCAATCAGAGGGGCGAACGATGGTTTTCACACGTGAAAAAAGTGATACGTCCAATCAGAATCGCGAACGATGTTTTTTCACGTGTGAGAAAAATGATACGTCCAATAAGAAGCCACAGAGGTATGTGAGTTTCGCGCCAAAATTCCCGCCGTTTATTGCAGCTTGCAGCGCCGCTTCGAACACATTCAACGAGAAAAGTTTTACTCAAAGAGTTTTTCTCGCTAAAAAAGTGAAAAGCATTTCAGAAATGGAGTGGAATAGTTTCGTTTGCATCACTGTCGATGAAGAAAACGGTAGAGAACCGGCGAAACAACATCGGAAAGGGAAAAACAGAACGAGACGTAAGCTTTTGTTGTGCTTTTTGTCGGAGCTACTTTACCTTTCATTTAAGCTTAAGTTTGTATTGAAACCGGCCATTTTACTTAAATTCACTCATTTTCAATTGTGCATTGAGAACAAACAGTTAAGATTACTTATAGTTCCTGGATTACTTCATATCTTTACCGTCATTTATGTTTTTAACAAACGTTGTTACTAAATTAAAAGCTGATACTTCGCTTTCGATGTCATTTGCGGTAAGTGTACTGTGTAGCGGCAAATTTTAGCATTTTTTAAAGATTTAAAATAAAAAGGCCGCCAAAATGATGAATGTCTCAGTATGTACACAATAAACACAATACCACGTGGAAAGTGCTTTGTACGGTATTTATGCACTCGTTGTTTTTGTATCAGAAATCTTACTCGTTCGCTGCGCTCACTCGTTCGGTTTCTGATACGTCAACAACTCGTGCGTAAATACCGTACGCCAGCACTTTCCATGAAGTATTCTCTATATACTTCGGAATTATGACACGTAAATATAACTGTTAATGTTAAGGCATATCACATTTCGGTATTTTAAACGTGATTCTGGTAATTGATGGTGCAAAAATTTCCAAATCTGTTAGTTCTTGAGGAGGCAGGCACAGAAACAGTTTCTCCTGTTCTAAGGGCATACGGTCTTGTGTGTGCAACTCGCGGCACTAAGTTTGGTAGCAGGTCGGAAGAAGCGTAACTTGATTTACTTCGCTTGAGAAGTTATTGAAAGAGACACTAGAACTGACTTGCAATACGCACATTTACGCAAGAACTCAGTTCTGGATTTTCTTGCCGACCCTCCTGATTAAAAAAGTCCCAACTCACGGGTCTATGAGTGAAATTCCGTTCTGCTACCAATCAAATGAAAATAATTTCACTTGCTTCCACTTGTTTTTAAGCATTTTAACCAATAAAATTTGTCGAATTTAGACTCTTGACCACTTTCTAAAGTGAAAGACGTAAGTGAACCGTAAAAGGAATTATCCATATAAAAGGAAAAAAACAAACATGAAACAGGATACAGAATGTTTATTTTCATACGTTATTCGATTCACAAGCCGTTTTTTAACCCTCTAGACGTTAGCGCTAAAATAATTTTTTGACTGCATTTTAAAATGTCGACTCAGAATCTGTGTTAACTTTTCCACTAAACTCTACTTTCGGCTTTGATCATGAATGAAGCAGGCTTAACATCTAGGGCAGCCTCTTGCAGACAAGTCCAAACTGTCCACCTGCTAAATCGTTCCAATCGCCAGATGCCCTAACAGAAATCCCTGCGTAACCAGTCCACATGATGCCAAAAGGCTCTCCGGCCTTTCCATTCGGCTCAAGTGGGGCCCATTTGGTAAAGGAGGGAACTGAATGATCGTACCACACAAAGGCCTTTACGCGAGAGTCCCACTCGAGTCCGATCCAAATCTGCTTCAGCGATGGGGCGAGCTTGTTTACGAGGTTTAGTACAAACTCGTTTTCCTCCTTGCTGTTGATTTTCACCAGATTTCCTCCCAGTCCGTTGCAGTACGTCTGGGCATTTTGCCGAGTCTTGAAAGAGCTACTGACAAGATAGCAGTATCCTTTAAATCGCACCCAGCCCTGTGGACAAGGAACGCCTGAAAGAAAAGTAGGAAGGTTTTAAAGCCTTATTGAAACTTTTAAGTACCGAACTT